GTAGTAGTGATGAGAAAAAAATGTCTCTCCATATATCAACTTTTGGTCTCTGACTCAAAAATATTGCTAAAGTTGCATTATTTACTAAACTTGTTCATGATAAACTTCCAGTTGGTTTACAAAGCGAAGGCATTGTCGATAATATTGCAAAAAAGCGTTCATTTTCCTTGCGAATGCTTGAAACACCAAAATTTATCGAAAAAACTAACGAGCATGAACGAGTGAAGAAAGCAATTTTCCCAAAGGATAGTTCTGTTTTTGATTTTATGCTTCGCCTACCTAATGACGAGGCACTAGTTATAGATAGTCCTATTTTGGATATTCTGAAGAAAAAAACATTAATCGAATATAGGAAAATGCCAGAAAAAATTAAAATCGATGCTGGGGCAATCGGATCTGAAGTAGAATATATAGAAAAATTACTCGAGGAGTATAAAATCGAAGGTTTTGAAGTTTTATATTCTTCACCAACACTCCCAAATGTATTCCCCTAAATCGCATAGCAGAATCCCAATGCCCACTTTGTAATCGGAAACACACTAGTAATAACGCATATGTAATCCGAAATAAGAAAACTTATTATTATTACTGTCATCGAGCAGATCAAGATACACCAGCAGGTACAAGAAAACCATCATTAAACCTTACTTTAAAAGTATCGATCTTAGAACAAGAAAACAGTCTTCCACTACCAGAAAAAATAGAGAGACCCAGAATCTTAGATCCAAATAACCACTTTGTATGGGGTGATTTAATTCGTATATGCACTTCTAAAAAAAATTTTACTCGGAATGAGGTATATAATGCAATCTAGGCTACACTTGCTTGTGTGGTAAAAGATAAACGAATATGGATTCTTAAACACAGAAAACCAGATGGTAGATTATACTTTGGTATAGCACCTACTCTAGATTTCGATAAAATAACTATTAATATAGTAGAACTCGGAGGAGAACCAATAAAATTAATCTCTTTAATAGATCGTATATATGACAGCAAGGCGATTATTTATGATGATATTGATTTCTTACCATATCCACCTAATATCAAACAACCAAAAAATGAATTTTTCAATCTTTTCTTAGGATTCAAGGCTAAACCAGCACCTTGAATTAATTACGATCTTGTGAACCCGATTATATGGCATATAGAAAATATCTGGTGTGATAGAAATAAAGTTCTTTTTACATATGTTCTCAAATGGTTAGCATTTTTAGTTTAGTATCTAGCAATAATTCCAGGAACAATTCTTGTTTTGCATTCACTGCCACGATATGGGAAAAATATTATTACTGATTTTATTCGAAAAAGTTTATTCGGTCTAGAGCTTGTATATTCAACATCCGATTTAGGTAAAATTTTGGGAAAATTCAACAGTAGTATTCAAGGACACAAACTTATAATTATGAATAAAGCAGGAATATTAAGTAGAGAATGGCATAAGTCAAACGATCACTTAAAATCTCTAATTACAGAAGATTACATCTCAATTGAGTGTAAAGGTCTCGAAAATCAAGAATGTGTCCATTTTCCTGGATTTATAGTATTAAGTAATTATGATGCCCCAATTCGTGTTGAGCAAGGAGATGGTCGTATTGTATGTTTAGATGTTTCACCTCGATGTAAATGTAATTTTAAATATTTTAGGCAGTTAGGAAAAATTCTCAACTATCCCGATACATCTGGATCTTTTATGAGCTATTTACTTGATCAAGACCTTTCGAATTGAAATCCACAAGAAAATATTCCTACCACTAAAATGAAAACAGAGACAATGCGTGAGCATCTCCCAAACCCTATCTGATCCATAATTGATCATATTTCGGTATGGTCAGAAGATCAAATTGAAAAACCAGGCTGTGCTATATTATATCGGAAGTATTGTACATGGTGTGAAGCTAACGGTGAAAAGCCATTCAGTAATAATAATTTTGGGAAAAAAATCCCACAGGTTAACATTGAACGAAAACATGCTAGTGGTGGAAAAAGAGAATGGCAGTATATCTTTAATTATTCAAAAATCGTGGCCAAGCTACATGAATCAGTAGGTGATATCGAAGAATTTCAGACTCACCTCAAACCGAAATATCCACCAATGCATCCACAAATATTCCTATATTCAATGTCCTAGAAATCATAACTTCTGAACCGAAAAAATAAAACCCACCTCATCAAATACCAATTACGTCAAAAAAGGTAAGAAAACATCCACCCTCTCTATTCCTGATATGACCCAGGATCTCTTCGATTCTGTAACAAATGAAAGTTCAGTTGCTTTGTTATCCAAGTCTACAAATATATCTCTGCCTCCCGAGATCGTGAATGTAAAACCTGTAGACGATAAATTTAAATCTCCTGAGATCTCTCCTGACTTACCTGTAAACAATGAACCAAAAACCAGTAACGAAGTATCATCCTAGCAGATATCATACCCACCTGAATATCAAACCAGGGAGCAACGAGAGGTATGTCTTTATGAGAAAGCTATCGAACTTGGTGAAGATCCTGACAAATTCGTTACTATTACTGAAAAAGATAAGCTCGATTCTGTCACATTCTGTAACAGAATGCAGACTGATGCGAGAATGTGTGATTTTGCAAAGGAGGCCGAAGAAGACCCCAGTGAATATATGGATATGACAGTGCGAAAAAGACTAATAAGCGAAGAAATAATCTGTCATTCTCTCGAGGAAGATGGAATTACCTCATCATGGCTGGATACTGATGAGGAATGGAAAAAAACGATTAACATACTCCAGGAAAATGGTATATTATGGTAATTGTTTAGTCGATAAGGAGCGAATAAGGTAAATTTCGCAGGTAGGAGCTTTGATATAGGGAAATTTTTGCTTCTACATATGGCAATATAAAATTTTCAAATTAAAATATAATGAAAACTCTGTTCTTTATACCAATATACTGGTTTTTGTGAGACCTAAAAATGATATTTGGTTAATTTTTCATTTTCAAATTTAATTTTAAATATGAAAGTGAGAATAATATAACCATTTTGTGATATCGAATCGAAAATGCCTTGTAATTGGTTATTAGTTGAAGACACCAATTTATATAAAACCTCAGCAAAGGGAAAATATTGCGCTTCCCATGCATTCAAGATTCAAAAGGGTGTAATAATCCCCCAACTATGTAAAGGATGTGGACGAGGAACTAAATCGAGCCTTCAGCTTTGTGTCCCATGTGGTCAAAGTAGAGAAAAGAGCGTATAAATATTATAACCAGAAGCGTATAAGAGAAACTCTGCATGCTTAATATCTGTATATATGAAGCAATTTACTAGATATGTATCCCGCCTTTTCGGTCTATAACCTTGAAGCCAGATAAATGCTGTTAACATATACATCTTTTTTCTGAGAGACATAGAGAAAAAAAGAAAAAATAACCAATTAAACTTATCATTTTTATAAATAACAATTAACTATTATCATTTTCATAACTAGTAACTCCCAATGGAAACACCCCAGAAAATAGTCAACTTATTAACCAAAAGAGAGATTGATTACAACAGACCAACATTTCGCAGACTAATGTGCAATGGTTTCAAGTACGTAAAAGATCTAGCTGAATTTCTACAATTACTGGATATTATGGATTATTACTATCCTGAGCAAATTAGATTCATGAATGCTCTGTCTCATCCAGCTATGATACCACCAATTGATATAATGGAAAATAGACCCAATATTTACAAGAAATGGTTCATAAGTATAGAAAAATACTAGAATCTATTCCAAGCATTATAGCAAAGCTAGTGTCTTCGACACATAAAAAATAAATATAGTACCAAATAATATTAATATAGCCTGAGTCGCCACAACTCGAAGCTATAAATTTTTTTTGTTATATCCTATATATTGATAACTTTCAAATTGACAGATTTGACCCAAAGCATTGACGTGTATATATACCTGGCATATATAGATTAAAACTTTTGATCGAACTTGTGTCTTGTTCACGTCTATTTTCAGATAGAATTACAATAACCATGACCCATTCAATTTTTGGGTATAGCTATCCATGGATAATTAATTTCGATTTGAAAAAATATTTTTATAGTGTATATAACCTAAAGAACTGTTCATAACCTACTCGACCTACTATAACATTAGATCATGTCAGCTATCATAACTAAAATCATTGAAAAATACAATCTCAGCCCCAAGATGAGTGTGTTTGATCTCAGTAAATATACCTCAGAATTTCTTGAAAACCTTACCGATGATAGAAAGCGAAACCAAGGTCGACGACGTCTTCGAGATGGTTTTAAATTTAGCAGTGATCAGGTAAGTATATTAATACCTAATCAGAGAAGTAGTAAGGTCA